ACTGTCTCCTTATCTGTGCATTGGTAGATTTGAGGCCAAAACCAGGAGAGAAAGATTTGAAATTATTATATTTCTTTTTTCTTTCATCGTTTATTGCCATTCCTCATGTTTAGCACATTTCTGTTCAATTGCTAAATCTTATTATACCTGCACCGCTCTGCCACGTCTGATAAATGCACATTTGATGCAACATTTATTCTGAATTTGTTCCTTTATCACAACATAATTCCTCTTATTGTGTTCATGTATCCACAATTATACACCAAAACAAATTCCCTTTATGTAAAACCCCGGATTCCGATTATTTTAACACTTACAAATCCGTGGCTTCTTCTCAAATACTCTCTTGCTAGAGACCACACCCGGGCCGTTTCTCAATGTCGAGTATACATGCTGCAGAGCCACTATTTCAAGTATACTACGTCATCAAGTGGCGCCGAAGGACTGTTTAAATATATGTTAAAGTCCCAGCATTCGGCGCCACTCGATCAAATCAGGTTTTATTTATATAGTACATTTTAAAAATTGTTTTAGTCGAGCCAATGTGCTGTACATGCAAATACAAACACATTACTACAATCGCAAACAGAAGACAATAAATTACAACAGCAAATATAAAAATCACACACAGGGAAATGTCATGAGTCTTGCTCCGCTCTGACTACAAGGCCAGAGAGAAGAAGTGAGTCTTTAGTGTAGATTTAAAAACCCCTAGGGTCTGGGCCGACCTCACATGGAGGGGCAGAGTGTTCCAGAGCCTGGGGCCAGCTGCTGCGAAGGCTCGGTGCCCTCGGGTTTTGAGCCTGGTCTAGGGCACTACCAGCAGCAGCTGGTCAGCTGACCTTAAAGCTCTGGCTGGGGTGTAGCGAAGGAGGAGTTTGGCTATATAGGCCGGAGCCAGCCCATTTAGTGCTTTGAAAACAAATACAAGGAGTTTAAAATCAATTCGGAACCGAATTGGAAGCCAGTGCAGTGAGGCCATAATTGGGGTGATGTGGTGACGCTTTTTGTGGCCAGTGAGAAGACGTGCAGCTGCGTTCTGCACTAGCTGCAGGCGTCTAATTGACGCCTGGTCCACACTCACGTATAGAGCGTTGCAATAATCCAGCCTCGTGGTTACAAAGGCATTAATAACCCTTTAAAAGATAAAAACGACTTGGTCTTGGCCAATAGTCGTATTTTAAAAAAGCGATGACGTAGTATACTTGAAATAGTGGCTCTGCAGCAGGTATACTCGACATTGACACACACACACGGCTAAATTAAGGATATATAGGTGTCATTAGCACCTGGGCTTTGGGCTCCTGGAGGTCTGGATGGTACCCGTTAGGTGGTGATGGGTCGAGGTGTCAAGAGTCACACATCCCTTTAGTCCCAACAGGCCTGGGGATGTGACTGTGACACTAGTGTATGTGCTAGTAGACAAGTGGGGGATGGTGTGACACACACACACACACACACACACACACACACACACACACACACACACACACACACCACACACACACACACACACACACACACACACACACACACACACACACACACACACACACACACACACACACACACACACACACACACACACACACACACACACACACACACACACACACACACACACACACACACACACACACACACACACACACACACACACACACACACACACACAACACCACACACACACACACACCACACCACACACACACACACGATGTGGGACTTTGAGTGGCAGGGTGGACAATACATAAAGCACTGAGCAACTTTTCTCACCGGGTCAGAGGTGATCTATCGTCCGCTCACCCGTAGAGAAAAAACGGCTTGTTCTCCACTCTGACTCCTTTCAATTTATAAAAAAATAAAGAACGGATATACACGCTGCCAAAACATCAGTCAGACAACAACAGAACAGTGGAAGTTGTCAATCAGATGTCTTTTTATATAACTCTGTGAAAAGAGGAAAACTCACAGAAGAACACAGCCTCCAGTGTTTCTGTAAATAGTGTACATTACACTGCTGGTTTCATTCAGAGTGTCAATGGAGTTGGAACTGAGCCAGGAGTTGCTCACAAAGCAGAATATAAATAGTTTGAAGCATCAAAAAGCAACAGAAGAGTTTATTTATGTAAGCTGAATAAGTTCCTACACATTAATGCTTTACATATTTTAACTCTGGATGATAATGTATCAAAGAGGAAGAGATTTATTGAAACAGAAAATGAAATACAAAAAAGCTGCATCGCACAGGACATTTTGTCTCTGCCTGACAGAAAATGAGAGAATTCATTTGCATTTGTTTGTCATTATCGTCATGTCAATAAAGCTATTTTTATTTGCCTGTGATGCTGGAGAAATCTCTCTCTCTCTCTCTCTCTCACTCTCTCACTGAGTTAGTGGCATCTAAACAAGCTTTTATAATTTACTGAGTAAACCACCGCAGTAAAAACACACAATTTGGTTTTATGGCCATTTTTGTTTAATTGATTTCTAACCTAGACTGATATTTGCTCATGTGCTTGCTTAAGCACACATTCAGCACACAGTTTACACAGAGTGGCTTTTAGGCAAATGATGGTGCACATCTGCATGCACGCTCGAGACACCTGAGAGCATTATCACTCCACAAACACAACAACTGTTTGTTAACATATTACACACACCTCGGCCTGAGGCAAAGACAAAAGGCAGCAGCACACACTCCTCCTCCCTCATTCCCCTCAGGGCTACAGTGTGTTTCTATAGAGGCAGGCTGCTGCTGTTTGTTCTCTGAATAAGTCTTCAGAGGAAGTGTGGCCACAGCAAAGGCTGCTGGGAAATCAAAGCAGGGAGACATCAAAGGCCGTGTTTCCCCCACAACTCCTGATCTTTGTGGATGGTATAGAGAGGCAAGTCCCTCCCTGTCCGGGGAGCTCCATGGGACCTTATTTCAGAAAAAGTATGTATTGAAATCAATGGAGAGAGAAAGATTATCTTTAGATCCCGTTTGAATTGTGCCACGAATTACACAAACGATGTTTATCAATTTAAAAGATAATTTTGCAAATAAATAAAAAAGTGTCGTAAAACTGTGAAGTAACACTTTTGTTTGTGTGAAACCGCTCAATGAACTACCTCTCCCGTCTCGCACCACACACCCAGACGGCCGTCACGTTGGAACATTTCACCTCTTTCTCTCAGAATGAGGCGGAAAGTATTAAACGAGGTGAAAATCACTCCAAGTCTGGGCACGTTGAGAGCTGTACATACACACAAGGGGAGTTAGTCGGTTCCGTAAGAGCCAGCATGCGGGACCGGGATTTGTAGTCTTTCTAGTTGCATATTTTTCATAGTTTTATATTTCAACAGTTTTACGACAAACTGACTTTTTTGACATGGAAATGCTTTTTTAAGATTGAGAAACATCATATGTGTAATTCATGGCACAATTCAAACAGGATCGAAAGATAATCTTTTTCTCTCCATTGACTTCAATACATAATTTTTCCGAAATAAGGTCCCATGGAGCGGAAGTAGACTTCGCCTCTATGGATTCAGAGCTGAGGGTTGCACATGTTTACATTTGAAAGACCAGGTTCTTTATTTATCCTCTTCTTTACAAATCTCATGAAACTAAATTGTTTGTCATGCATAGATTTGTACATTCTGGTGAGATTGAAGCATAAAAATCTACAGGCCCATGTTGATTATTATTAAAGAAAATTCCAGGGTGGCTCATTGATATGTTTCAAATGTTTTAGAGCTCTATGAGTAGAAAAAGACCAGGTTCTTTATTTCTCCCCTTCTCTACAAATGTCATGAAAATACTAAAATGTGTTTGTTGTGCATAGATGTTGATATTCTGGTGAGATTGAAGCTAAAAAAATCTACAGGGACAACATAGATTTGTATTAAGGAAAAGGCTGTGGCTCATGGACATGTTTCTAAAAAGATGTGGAGCTCTATGAGTGGTTATGCTCGTCATGGTGCCCTGAGGATGAACCCTGATGATTCCTGGTGATCTTCTGGCACTGCCATTAGTTAGATATTTGGTTTACGTTCCTCAAATGTTTTGATGGGGTGCCAATACATTTGGTTCACACATTTATGTCCCGTACAGCAATAACTAAAAGTTAGAATCAAATCAGGTCAAATATCTAAACGTTGTTTAGTTTTTTTTACCACATACCTTCAAAAAACATTCCCATCAGCCTTAGCAGTTCTTTGAGTTTAGTGCTGATTTACCCATTGGTTTTTGACTACCCGTATTTTTTTTTAAAGCCATTCATTCGGGAATATTGCTCATGTCAACTTTCTTTGTGGAGCCACATTTGGATAACAGGGTGCAGCTGGAGAATAAACAGCTTGGTTTGGCTTAGCAAGGCGCGTCTGATTTTGTCGATCAAAAAACAATGCCTAAAACAAAATGTGCTTACCAGAAAAAAAAAGAGTGCAGATGGAAATGATCTGGCATATATATTCTCTTTTTAAGATGGTGTACTTTTTCCTCGTTCAATAAAGACATACAAGTAAAGTAAGTAAAGTCAATTAAGAAAGCACAAACAGTTATACTCAAAACAGTCTTCAAAAACCCTGACCAAATACACCTTGTACTTCAAAGAACACCCTAACTCAATAGGACATTTTGTAATTAGCTGAGAACATTACAAAAAGTTTAATCAATAATATAATTTTAAATCATTTGTGTCTGGTCTCTGGAAACCATTGAAGCCATGGCTCCTGCCCAGTTGGATTTCCCCTCCTCTCACGTCATCGGTCGGTCCAGTTTTATCACAAACGCAGATCTGCCGATATATTGATTTAACTATGCAGGCAGCTTCTGTTCTGTTATTGATTGCTGACGATCGCGGCTCAGTGGGATATTGAGTTTCCAGATTAAAGTGCAAGGTCACTAGTTGGTTATGAGGTTTGCTTGTTAGCTAATGTAGTTAAGACGTTGGAGCAGGGGAGGGGATTTATGTTGTGAAATACCAAATATCCGCCTCCTTCTTTCCTCTCACCTGCTGTTGAACTTCTCAGGGTGCTTTTCCCGCATCAGATGAAAGCGATGGGCGATGGAGGCATCCTGCAAGAGATAACAGAAGAGATCAGAATAAGAATCAGAATACTTTATTTAGGGGGAAATTGGGTATGATAAAAGTAGCTAAATGTTATAATATAAATAATAATAATAATAATAAAATGTTATTTTAATTTAAAGGTCACCTATCATGGTTTTAGGCATATATTATGGGTCTCAGATATATAAAAACATGTCTATGATGTGTTTTTCTCAAACAGATCATGCATTGTAGACATCCCTCAAACCCCTCTTGTGCAGCCCTGTTAGAGAAACGCGGATTTTAAGTCCTTAGCAAAAAAAAAAAAAAAGAGGAGGCGGAGCTAATGCCTGATCAGAATTCTACCGGAGATAAAGTTAAATTCTGCTGGGATAAAACGCCATCCTGTTCAAAACCACATCAAGGATTATTTCTGAAACAGTATGGAGCTCAAATGCTTTTTCTCTTGCAGGTTTATCACAAGGCGAGTTCCTTTCTTTACTTCCTACTTTTTAAAAACACATGTGCTCTACAGTACAGGTTAGCTCCGAGTGTTAGCGAGGCTTGCTAATGTAAACAAAGACGAGATTACGTCCAAAATACGTCAGGCATTGTTTCTGATAGAAACTTTCTGTGGGTCCACCATCCGAAATTACGTCATATCGGCAGCAAATCTGGATCAGCTCCGTTGTAGCCCCGTTTTAAAAAGATTTGGGTACGGAGGAAAAGAGAAAGGGTTTTTATTTTCTGACGCTGCGTGAGTTCCCCGACGCACCGGGGACACATTTATGTATAAGGTCGCATTCACACCTAATAGTCCGTTCTCTGGTGCGCACCAGACCACAGTTTGTTACATTGTTACATTTTTCAGAAGGTTCGGTTTGAGTTCACACGGCAAAACTCAAACGGACTATAAACTTTAAACACAAGTCATGTGCACGGAAATGCTGTTCAACCATTGGTCAGACATTAAGCGGGTAAAAACGCAAATCCCGGCAATTTCTACCGGAGCCTCCGCCATGGAGCATCGGCACCTTCTGCAGGTTATTTTCATGCTGCTGTTAATCTGGAGAGCATATCAACAGAAGTGGATAGCACATATGATTATACAATCAGACGACATGCGTTAAAAAACATTATAACATGTAATGAGAAGTTGTGCAGTAAGGAGGGACGTTTCACCGACGACAGGTGGCTCTTACTTTTATGTAGCTGACGGAGCATTTTTACTTTACACGACACTGTTCAACACTTCATTCTGCTTCACTCTTTCACTAAAGAAATGAAGATATCCGCGTTCTTGTGACTCGTAAATACTACGCTCCCTATGTTTTGGTGCGGACTGCGTTCACACCAGCGATGATCCGCTCCAGAGTTCACTACCAAGCGCTCCGAGACCACCTCTTTTAAGCGGACCAGAGTCCGGTTGTTAAGTTCACTTCAGAGGTCTCGGACTGCGTTCACACCGACCCAAACGAACCGCACCAAGCAGGTAAACACACCAGGGTTCGATTCAACCGGACTTTGTATGATAGGTCCCCTTTAAATAAAATAAAAAATATATACTTTTCAGTAGCAATACAAATGATCAGAGATGAAAATAAAAAATAAATGTCTTTAATTTGAATAGAAAATCAAATAAATAAATTATCTAAAAGGTATATGTTTCAGTTTAAAGCACAAATTAATGGTAAGCTGGATATATTTGTGTAGTGTATTAGTGTATTACTTATTTACATTTCAACCACCAGCATTCTTCCATAAAAAAGCAAGACATTCAGTGACTTTGGTCTCTTTCAACATTTTATAGACAAACTGATAAATCAAATATTCACTAAACATCTGCAGATGAATCAGTAATGAAAATAACCCAACCAAAACGGACAAAATAAGCTCACATTTCCACTACAATAGACTTCTCAAGTTCTGCAGATATTCAGTCAATTAAGCGTAAAATACTCAGAGAAATGGAGCTGGGATTTGTTACACAGAGCAGCGTTGAACTAGAGGTCAGGAGTTAATGGGAGCAGGGTTCAGCCCCCCCCCCCAATGTGTTTAACCTCTGACCCCTGAGTGTGACCCTGATCAGTCACTAGGGCAGCCTCAGTGTGACCTCGCTCACAGACACACACAAACACCAGCGGCGATCACGCTGTCACCACATTATTGATGTTGTACTTCTTTAAAACACGCATTCATTTTCCATTCATCACAGGAAGGCTTCACTCTCACAGGAGCCTCACAAAAGTTCAACAGAGGTTTGTTCCCCAACATGGTCAACTTGCTTTCATAATAATAAACTATATTAGTCAGATAACTCAAATCAAAACTACGCAACCAAACTGCATTGCCAATTAAGATTTTCTAGTGAAATAATTTCGTTTGTTGTTGACATATTGCAAATCCATTTCTAATCAAAGTCTGTGAAAGTCATACAAACACAAATGGGACATTGTAGACGCTGTTCGTGTCTCGTTTGAAGCCAAAAGTCACCAATTTACTATATAATTTATATATACACAAACTACTACACAATATATGTAACAATATTTTTTTATTTCACTGTACAATGTTCAATTTGACATTTAGTTATCTACTTACACGTTCTGTTACTTGCACAATTCTTTTGCACTCATTTTATTTTGATTGTTTAACATATTTTATTTTATCATTTTAATAATTATATGTATATTTAATTTATTATTTATATATTTTTTTATCATTTTATTTCTATTTCTTCTTGACTTGACTTATTGTATTTGATGCATAGAAGTATGTTGCATAGTTAGTGAAGCCTGGGACTTCCGATTTTCTTTGCAAAACTACACAGTAGCTATTGTGCACATATACAACAATAAAGCTTTTGAATCTTGAACATCCACTGTAGTCTGACACACAGGACATGCAGCAGGGATCTGGACACTTTCAGTGACTGTGATGAATTGAACAGAGCAGCTTTCATTTGACTGTAAGTTGAGTTTGAGCAGAGCTTCTCCCCTGCAGCCTGAGATCCGTCTGTCACAGATAAACGTCGCTGTACATGTAGAATAAACTCAAGATGCACGGACTCAAAGATTACATCGACTATATGTCAGAGGAAGCTAACATGGATATGGAGATGGTGGATGTAAAGTTTCACTCTGATGGTGGAGTCAGTAATCATGTTAACATATTAAAGTCTTTTATTTTACAATAACATCTTCTGAGTCTGCCTGAAGTGCCTAACAGAGACAAGACGCATGACATACTGTAAGCCCACTTACTAAATGTGTCTGGTAAAGTTTACTTTTGGTAAACTGGGTTCAATATATTCATATAGGTGATACAATACAACGATCTTTAGACACCACAGAACAAAAATAGGCATGGTCAAAAAATGATCATGAGCTGCGGAAGTCTTCCCAATATAGTGCTTTTTCCAAATGTGAGTAAATTAAACTAATTCTGAGGTAGTGGTTATGACCATAGTTATCTTTTTTAAACTTTTTATTTTAGTTTTTTATCAACAAACAGCCAGACAGACGACGCAATAGCAGTTGGCAAACAAGTTAGGATGACAAGTGTGATTTGAGTCCGACAGGATAAAAAACAAAGACAAAAAAATAAATAAATGAATAAAACAAAACAAAAAATGGACTGCGACAGGACAAAAACACAAAAACAAAGTCAGAATCTAAAGGCTCTGAGTCTAAGTCCATTATTAATACCATAATGCAATTTAGAGATCAAATAATGTGTATAAATGGAACAAAAAGACCAAATATATTAAATAAAATAAAAACACAGCACTTGTTGGTCAGTCAGCCGCCCACTAATCACAGTTTAACACCGCAGGTCCACCACCCTATTGTACAGAGACATCCGGCATGTCCAGCTCCCGTATATACTTGTAGAAGGGGTTCCACATCTTGTGGAATTTCCCCAAGGACCCCCTCAGTATGCACCTTATTTTCTCGAGTTTGGCTGAATTTAGGACTTCTTTTAACCACGAGGTGTGTGAAGGGGATGTTGGCGACTTCCACATGAGCAATATCAGGCGTCTGGCTAGTAATGTAACAAAGGCTATGAAGGCTGTCTCCAGAGAAGAGAGTGGCCATGTGGGTGGGGTTACACCAAACAGTGCGGTCATAGCATTAGGAGTGACCGGTTTTCCAGTCATTTCTGACAGTGATCTAAAGATGTCAGTCCAATAAGAGTGTAAGACCGGACAAGTCCAGAACATGTGTGCGTGACTCGCCGGTGCTTGGCTACATCTGTCACAAGTTGGGTCCACCTCCTTATATATTTTAGAGAGCCTGAGCTTAGTGAAGTGTGTGCGATGTACTACTTTGCACTAAATCAGTCCATGTCTAGCACATTGACCATAGTTATGATTAACCATCCATATTATGATATTTGGGACCAGTCCCTTACAAAATCATCAAGAGCTCCTGTTAACACATATGATATCTCCAATGAAGAAACTGACAACCAGGCTAAAATATCTTGATTAGGGTTTATAAAACAGTTGTGCATTCACAGTAAAGTATTTCATCAAGCCTCTCCTGACAGGCAGAGCATGTGTGATGGCCGTCTGGCGCCCTGCCTGTCTGTGCAGCTGCGAGGTGTTTCAGCGCTGCAACAAGGAGAACGAAAGGTTGTGACATGACAGCTGGACAGGTGCAATTATACGCATCCTCACTTGTCACCCTCAGAAACATCCTATGGTGTGACAGGGCTTCTCTCCACCAGACACTGCGGCGATGTGCTGACATCCCACAGCATCAGCAGGGAGGAGGTCTTTAAATAGAGCTGCTGCTGCTGTAACTGCACAGAATCTGATACTGGAAGCAGGGCAGCGAGGAGACATCACAGGTGAACTACTGGAAGACACACAGGACTGTAGAGTGGTGCAGGAATGAGTCCAAAAAAATGAGGCAGCAATTAAGCACTTCTCTTGTCTCGGAGTAAACTTTTGTGTACGTGTTTGTGGTTGGATGCCTGAAATAAGGTCTGTGGATAGAGATGCCCAATTAAGTTCTTTTTGGGAGTTTCTCAGCCAAACAACCCCCCATGCCTGAAATGCCTCCATTGGACTCCTTTGTTTACAAACACATAATGACATCACTTTGTAACACGTGCGCTTCTATTGGGGTGATAGGCTAAGAGGCGGGACATCTCTAAGCGGTTGACCAATCACAACAGAGCCGGCCAGCTAACCAATCAGAGCAGGCTGGGCTCTGGTTTCAGACAGAGGGTGAAAAGAGGTGCTGCAGTACAGACAGTATGAGAAAAATAAAGAGCTTATCGAACATTAAAGCATGGAGGCGTGTCACAGGGGAGGAACTACATACTGATATGAACCTGGAAATGTTTTGTTCTACAACACAAATACATGCTTTTACGTGTCCTGAAAACAGTGGTTGCTAACAAGTGTCAAATTGAGACTACCAAACGCCAACATTCTGAACATTAGCCGCCTTTAGCCTAACATTCGCTTTTTACTTTTGGCAATTGCATTTACGCTTTAAAGGTGGGGTAGTTAAGTTTGAGAAACCGGCTCGAGATACACTTTTTGTTATATTCCATTGAATACTCTTAACATCCCGATAGCAATGAATATCTGAAGTGCTTTGACAAAAAATCCATACAAAACGTCATCTGTGGAAGCAGTAGCGCTGTAAAAAGCACGACCAATCATCTGAGCCGGCCCGGCTAAAGTAACTGGATGGCCTACCTGCCTGTCAGCCTTCCATCTGTGCACAAACTTATCTCGTGCCCTCATTGGTCATGAGCGCGTTCGTGTGTGTTGGAGGAGGGGCTCTGTAAGGAAGTGGCAGATTTGTTCCGGTTGTGTATTTTCAAATTCTAGCGCACTCGAGCTGGTTTCTCCTAAATTACCTACCCCACCTTTAAGAATCATAAAAGTTGTGTTGATATGTGGAGATGATCCTGCTGAACAAAACGTGTAAGTATCATAAACATGTATTTGGCAAAAAGCTTATTTCCTGCAATAATCAAGAATCAAATGGAAAAATCCTGTTGCCTTTCTGTCGAGGGAGCCTTTGAGTTACAGACATAATAAGTCATCGCTGCAACAATTGTTATGGCAAGGTTATTCATCACAACACATAACATAGGAAATGTGTTTATGGTTTGCCTCAGGAGGCTTAGATACAAAACAGGGAGTTATGTTTCAGTGATTTTGGGACAATGTGTGCAGCACAGCGTGTGGATCGCGGCCAGACAATGACACAAAGTGGCCGTGAAGCTTTCCAAAAACATGACGGGCTGCTTCATGTCACTAAATCTGCTCTCAGTTCCTCTGCTGCAGGCAACCACTGACCAGCCACACTTTTCTGCATTCTGTCCCCCGCTGATAAATCTGTTCGTAACAATATGTGACATTTGCCGTCGCCTATAGTTGCCTGTGTGATGAAGGTTGTTTTGATCTTGCCTTTTGAAGTTGCGTGGGGGCAAGAGGAGGTGCTATTGGATGGGTGATGTGAAAAGTAGGAAGGGAAAAAAGGGAGAGACAAACAACAACCAAAAAACAAAAACGGTAGCTGGGAAATGTCACCTCAGAGGGACCCACAGCAGAGAAATAGGTTCGTTGAGCACTATAGAGTTTCACTGGCCTCTGGTGAGGGGCTTAATGTCAAAGAGAAATGTCATAGTTAGCTTCTAGTCTATCATATCCTATGATACGGTTATATTGGGAAGCTCAGGTTAGCAAAGCAATCTTAACATACACTGTCTTTGATTTAAGTCTTGTGTGATTATTTTATATTTCAAAGAACCTACACTCCTACTTACATACATGTAGTAAAGCTCTGTATAGTAAGGATACTAACATGGTGAGTCAACATTGTGATATTAAATCAAACCCTTGTCGTAGTTTTTCTGACATTTCGATTCATTTTTACCAGTATTGTTGTAGGTTTGCTCATCTCATAATTTAGACTTATATGTTTATCGTGAATGCACTTTTGAAAGGGTTTTCCCTACTCAACTTTTACTGCCAAAAATTGACTATTTTTTGTATTATTTGATACAGCATTTTGACTTTGTTCAAATAATTCTCTATTCTTTACAGTCTTTTCTGCTGTTATTTGATTATCTCAAAACCGAAGGTGCTTAGGCCTAACATGAGGAACAACATGTGTTTGTTCATCTTTTTAAGTCTGCGAAATAATATTACGTTATGAAACGAATAAACAGATAAAATATCAAATCTGTGGAGCTTCTTTTTTAAATGTTTAATAGAGCAAGGATCCCTTTTTAAGAGATGTAGAGCAGAGGTTAACAACACTTGACAGGAAGCTGATTAATAGAGTTCACAAAACTGTCATACAAATGTTTTGGTAGTTTCTTGAATAGTTATGAGTATCAAATGTCACGGAGAAACATTTCATAACGTTTGAAGCTAGTTTTTTTAGAGACTCAGAAGACAGGCAGGCTTTGACTCTTGGCAGAAAAACTCTGTCCCCCAAATATCAACTATTCCTTTCAAGTTATGTTTGTGGCTTGGAGTTGGACTTCTTCACACAGTTTCTCAGCAAGTGTAGTGCTAGGTGTGTGTTAAAGTCCACATGTTTTAGCGTGTGTGTGTTCCTCCCGTCTTGAGGAGCAGCCAGGTGTCACTCAGCGCGGTCGTTCATTACGAGGTAACCTGGCCTGAAGCTGGCAGCCGCTCACTTCCTGTCACTGATACTTCCCCTGACCTTCAGAGAGAGCCAGCTCTATCTCTCGCTCACAAACACACACATCATTTCATACACACACTTTCTGATCCTTGTGGCCCTGCTCGTTTCCTGAACAAACACTAACACAGGACAGGATTACGTTTAATCTAATAGAGTATTTTTCTTAGTCAACTGACCCCATCTCCAAAGTCACGGAGTAACTTTACAGCTTTTACTGTCAAACAAACCCAAGGAAAATCCTGATCTTGTGAATCTTTAGAGGCAAACACTCACCAACCGTGGCACGTTACTACATCCAGCTTGCCTGAGGTCTCAATCAACGACATGTGTCTCTTTACAATTATCTGATGGCAATTTAAAATCTTTAAGGCAGAAAATGAGTTTAATAAACCGGGAAACAGACAATTTCTCATATAGCTCTTTGTATAAAAAATGTGTTTCCTATTGAAGTGCAACTAGGGAAGAAGAGGTAAAACGGAAAATGTAGGCCACAGAGTCCTGACAAAATGTCCATTAATTCAATGTTTGTTCCCTGTTGGACTTTTATAAAACAGGCAGCAGTGGATTCACCGTTTGAAGCCACTCACTTACTCGTTACTAATTAGGTCAACTGTGTTTGAGTACCAAAAAGCCATCACTTTAACAGAACGATGAAACTGGAAATATAACATACTCCATGTTCCAATGGGAAACCAGGTGGGAGATCATGTCGAACACATTTGGATAAATCTGCAGCTTTTGGGAATATTTAAATGTGAGAACATCATTTGCATAATCTGGTATTTTTGGTTTCTGACGCAACTGCTTATTTATTTTCTGTGCTTTTGTTTCCTTGACTTGATACTAGGTCTGGGGAACATATCAGTATTATATTTATAGACTTGACTTAGATTTTGGAGCATAAGAGTTGTCTTTCACTGGTTTTAAAGTCATTTTCTGATCCGACCAGACGGACCTAGACTATCTAGTCAATATATTAATATTACCAATACTTATCTATCAAAATCTCAGTGTTAATGGAGATTTTGTGAAATCACTGATTGTCAATCTTTTCATTACATAACATGTCACTTGTTAGACGCTTTTATCCAAAGCGACTTACATACTCAGTACTGTGGACAATCCCCACAGGAGCAATTTGGGGTGAAGTGTCTCAGGGACACAACGACATGCTGACTGCAGTGGGGTTTGAACCTGTCACCCCTCTATCCGAACACCAACGCACAACCCACTGCGCCACACGCCTCCACAAAATACGCCATTGCAAAATCAACATTAAGGTGTTTTGGTCAAGATTAAACCACAGTGCTATTCAGTACTACTGGACAGAAAAGTTACCTAAAACATTTTGTCTAAATGTAAATAAAGGATACAAGTTGTTGGTGTTACTTTAAAACTCACGATTAAAAGATTAAAAGCTAATTATTGGGAAGAGTAGTTGAAAAAACACCTAATTTACTCCGTTTAGTAGCTGTTCTGGATCATATTATTCAACATGTTTATTTTCTGCTTTCTTATTTATTCCTAGTCTTTTAATTGTTATTGTACAATGCCATGTCTTTTTATGCTGCTGCAACACACACATTTCAC